TTTTTTGAATGGCCGAATGCGCTTCTGTTAGAATTCTTGTGAAAGTCGCGGCACGAACGGCTATCCTTTCCCGCCGATCCGCGTTTAAGGCGTTCGTCCTCGACTCGGCGACTCGTTGACGCGGTCACCTGTCGCCTGTGACGCGTGTCCGCGCGATTGCCTCGCGATCGACTCGCTAACTTTTTCGCCTGCACAGCTGTGCCGATCGATTCATGCAAGCCTTCCGCTTCTTTCCTCTCTTCTCTTTTTTTTCACCTTTTTTTCCTCTATATCGATCAGTCAACGGCGTCGCTGCCGCCGCTGCGAGACACGGAAAACACACAATACCAACACGGTCATTTTCACGGACCGTGAATCATTGCGTTCCGTGACTCGCGTGCTCTCGCCCGAAACCGGCACGTGGGAAACGCTTTTTGTCGCCGCTGATCGATAATTGCATTCAACTCGGAGCTAAAGTCCATGCTGGACTTGCGTATCTTACGAAGGAGGTTATTGAGGAATGTGCGTGATAATTGGGACACTCATTGACCAAATCGATTAATTTCAGTGTTTGAATTATTTCAGATTTTATCAGTAACGATCTTTGTTGGCTCAACAACTATTTACATTTAAAATAAATTTTATTATGACTAGGTTTGGTACCATGAAATAATAAAAAGTCTTTAGATCATATAAATATGGCAATAGTAATAAAAACTACTTCAAGAATACACTATTTTATACATTTTACATATTCATTGCATTGAAGCTGTACTTGTAATGGTTAAATAAAATACATTATATAACGATTTTTTGATTTTGTATTTAAAGGGAAATTTTAAAAATCAACATATAACCTGTCGCATTACTTCTCTTTAGTTTTTGTTTTTTGGACTTAATCGTTTTGTCCAATGAGTCAATTAGGTGGATCTTTTGAGCGAATTTTGATCGAGTATCTTGTAGTACTGGAATGAAGAATGTACAATTTCGATCGAATAGCATTTTTGTTTGGTAATATAAATGATTTTTCATAGTTTGTAAGTTTGCTATGAGTTCAGTAAGTTGCTAGTCTTGTAATATTCTCATAATATTATAGTTTTGGAAAATATAAGTCTCCTCTGAAGTTTCTATTTATTATACACTACCTTTAGGACATCATAAACATTAGCAAAAGTGGCAAAGACATCAAAGTTACTAAATAATTTAGCCACTCTTTAATGTACAGTATTAGTCACTGCGTCCACTGACAATAAATATGAAATATCTACAACTGACAAACAGCAATGTATCCCAGAAAACGCACCGTGCATAACTTATTGGCACTTTCTAACGAGAGAAAGAAATTCTATATTACTGATAAACCGATGGAAGATGCGGCGATGACCGAACTGACCTTTTAGTGGAAACTTAGGAATCTTGTGTGCAACACGATATTAACGCTAAAATTACCGAGCAGTTAATTGACTTTGTGAAAATCCTCTATGAAAATTCCAAGAGTACATGTACTTAAGCTTGAATTGATTTACAATTCAGTTTGCGTATTGCTAAATCAATTTCTTGAATATTTTTTCAGAGAAATATCTGTTATCTTTTTAACAATTGCAAAAAGAAAAAATCAGGAATGGGTGGTTTTGATGCGTCTGGTAATTTTAGTGTTAAAAATAGGAAACCAGCGTTACACATGCGCTCATGACGCGCGATAAAAAATCATTCCGTTGATCCTATCTCGGTTGTCTGCGAAATAGCTGCGAAAAGCAGAGCCATTAAAAAATCTATGATATTCATCTGGCTCTGCGAGCGTAGAAAATTTCTATTACGTAACTGTCCAATAGATAACGCGAAACTTAAATAGATTTTGCTCACTGTCATACAAGATCTTATAAGCAGCTTAAGAGAGTAATGCTCTGGAACCGATACTTTGAAATTTCAACAAGTATCCTTTTTTCATCTAATATCGCGGCTGTTGCTGGTTAATAATATTTACGATCGACGTGTAGGGGTATCGAAGCGTATTTTAACACGGTGTATGATAAATTATTCGAAAGTCTGACCCAGTTTGCGTCTTGGCGATCTTGATAACAGAATGCGGACCTTCGTGAACGCGTCCTGGAAAATAACATAAATGTTAAGTAAAAATGTCCATGGCCGGCGATCTTGGTC